ATATATATATATATATATATCGGAAAAAGGATTACTTAAAAAGGACTTAATAACTTAGACACTCCTGATTTTAAAAAAATTCCATTTAATCCTAAATGGATTAAAAATTTATCTAATACTGAGGTTCCTCCAGACATACTGAAGTTGTTATCTTTGGGTCCTAAATTTGGCCTTCAACCAACTTTCAAGGACTACTCAATTAGTAGAATCCTAGCTGATGTTGAGAATATTTTGTCTCATGCGGACAATTCTGACCTTTTATCTCTTAGGTCTTCTTCTAACAACATCTTGTTAAATTTCACTAAACGCCCTAGGCAACCCATATCGGAGATAGATAAGGTTTACAGGGAGACGGTATCGTTTTTAAAAACCCACCCTAATCTTCTCGTTCTCACGAGTGACAAAGGTAATGCTACTGTCCTTATGGATAGAGATCAATATTTCAGTTTGAGTAAATCACTGTTAGATGATGATAGATACTACCAACCACTTTCCACTAACCCTTGCTCTAAATTCACAAATAAAATAAATAAATTTATAACACATTTGAAAAATATTAAGATCATAGATCAACCTTTAGCTAAAACTTTACATAATTATGATGGATATGCTCCTAGATTTTATTGTCTGCCAAAGATACATAAACCTACACTGAGCATGAGACCTATTGTGTCCTCTATTAATTCACCTAATATCAATATTGCTAAATTTCTAACTGACATCCTTTCAAAGTCATATAATTACAATAATGACTTTAATATTGTTGATTCGTTTAACTTTAGTGAATTTATTAACAATTTCAAATTACCACCAGGTTACATTTTAGTAAGTTTTGATGTGGTTTCTCTCTTCACCAATTTACCTTTGTCCAGTGTTATCACTTCCTTAAAAAATCACTGGAATTCGATTAAACCTAACTGTCCTGTTTCCTGGGATGTATTTGCAGAACTCTTGCAACTAGTTTTTGATACTAATTTCTTGGTCTTTGACGACAAATATTACCTTCAAATTTTTGGCACACCTATGGGTTCCTCAATCTCTCCTATCCTAGTCAACTATGTATTGGATGATTTAGTTTCTGACCGTTTGGGTCGTTTGGATGTTCAAATCCCTTTTATTAAGAGGTATGTGGATGATTTATTATTAGCCCTACCACCTGACAAGGTTCAGGGTACCTTATCCTTCTTTAATGAGTTTGATCCTCATTTACAGTTCACTGTTGAACTTGAGGACAGCATCACCAATAGCATTCCCTTTTTAGACATGCGTGTCATTAGAATGGGAGATAACACCCTAACCACAAGTTGGTATAGAAAACCCATGGCCTCTAATAGGTTCCTTAATTACCACTCCTGTCACCCTATGAAGTATAAACTAAACCTTATAAAAGCTTTAAGCTGCAGATTACATAAATTGACACATCCAATTAATCGAAGGGAATCCCTTAAGTTATTAAGAAATATTCTAATAGAGAACTCATATCCATCATCTATCATAAACAAATACCTATACACACAAAGCTATGGTTCCTCGTTTGATGACATACCCAATGGTGACCAACTCAGAACTATTTCCAATAACTCAATTAATAGCATTGTTCTGCCAGATACTGAGTTTGAGAATCCTATTATCCATTATTCTTCTCTACCTTATTTTCCTCAAGTTACTGAGAAACTTATTAAACTGTATAAACAAAATAACATTCCTGTTAAAATTGCTGTCAAGAACGCAAAAACTGTTAGAAATCTTTTTTCAAAAACTAAAACACCATTGTCCACTTTAGAACAAGTCAATACAATTTACCACCTTCCATGCTCTGATTGTGATTTGTGCTACATTGGCCAGACCGGTAGATCATTAAAAGGTCGTCTTACTTCTCATCGTAGTGATATTAATTTATCAAAAAATACGTGTGCTCTCGCACAACACGCTATTAGCACCAAACATAAAGTGGATTTTAATGAAGTTAAGATTCTTGGCACTGAACGTAATCTATTTAAAAGACAGTTTTTAGAAATGTGTTCAATTCTTAAACATCCTAATTCTCTAAATAAGAGAACTGACATAAGTAACTTGAGCCAAATTTATCATGCTCTAATATTGCAGAACTAGGCTTTACTTTCATTTTCAATATAATTGTCATGTAATATACATATTTGAACACAATTTTTTTTAATTAATAATATAACATAGTAAATAAATAACTAATATTAAAATAAACTGAAACACTCAATTCTTTATACCAACTACTTAAATATAGGCAACTTTCATTACACTGTTACCTCTACACTATAATTTTCCATATGAGTGTGAACCAGTCACTATTTAATAGTATAGTAATAATATTAACATTGTAATTGATTCATAGAATCCTTTACAAATTACAGATCTAAGTGTCTGAAGCTTAGACTGTTGGAAATTATCTAATTGTTATTCACCTGTTGGCAAAATTTTTTCAGCCACAATGTTTAACATAAATTTAAATATAAGAGTTTGAATGAAATTCTCCTGTTTGTTTGTTTTTAGACGGGCTAATGCGAGTAATTGTTATTGCTATATCAGTTTCTTTCATTGGATTGTCTCTTACAAGCGGGCTGTCATCCAAAGCTCATTAACATTTAAATAAACCGCTCAATTATTTGAGGTGGTACCTCTGACCTTGCTGTTCTGTTGAAATAATTTCAACCTCAAGGTTGGCTGTCTTTTCGTGGTTCTGTGTCAGTCTGTTCAATCTAACGCCATTTTCCTGGTAGCAGGTGCAAGGCTTAGACCGGTAACTTCATTCATTTACACTAATTTTTTTTTAAATTATATTAACATCTTTTAATAATGCTACCAAAAGTTAAAATTAAAGCTTAATAATTATCAATAGTTGGAAGTTAATCGTTGATTTTCTTAGTTCTTTGCATCATTTAAGTTATAATTTAATATATTTTTTATACTTCGGACCACATGGTCACTTACTGTGCTAATTTTTTAATAAGTCACTAAATGTTGTTAGTAAATTAAATGTTTATACATTTCTACTTTATAATGTCCATTTATTCAAGTTTAATTCATAAGCTTGTTAACATCTTTGACTGCTACATGTCTTTTTAAGGTAACACCTGTAACATCTTTTCCATGATTGTGTGGTTCTTATATTATACTTTTTAGAATGAACTGATGATGCTTTCAGAATACGAAAGCGAAACGTCTTCAAAATAGATAGAGTGGCACATCAACTTTGTCTTTCATTTCTCCACCTACAAATTGACCGATATAAGAGCCCACCACTCTGTTGAGTGATCCTTTTATATATATATATATATATATATATATAATATATATATATATATATATATATATATATATATATATATACTACAGATAGTTATTCTTTTAGGGCACCATATGGTTACTGCGATTGCTTCTAGGTTTTGTAACTAAAGAGAGATGTGTTGAATAGACATCTTTTTAGACAAAAATTGAGGTTCCTCCACTTGTTCTGAGGCATTCTCTTCTTACGTGATGATATCCTGCATAACCCTTAAGAACTGTTAGGTGCCCTTAAGAACTTGTAGGTGTTGAAGATTCGGTGTTACTGGATGAATTGCTGTGGTATTAACTGTAGATTTATTATTCATAATTTAGTTGCTTTTGTAGTCAAAAGCAACGGGAGTGATTAAGATTAATGTATATATTTTTTCTGAAATGTCCGCAAACAACAATAAATCATATTGTAAAATGTGTTGTCTATATTGCCAAAAGCAAAGAGCTTTGGCAGAATTAATTGCTTTCTTATCAGTAGGTTGAAAACAAAAAAAACTAGACAATTGTTTATAAATATTGCAATACTTGCTTGTTGCCTGGAACACGTTGCATGCAGCAATGAAGAAAATATCACCAATCGATACACAACTGTTTGTTTATCACTATTTGTAATCAAATACTAATAAAAACTTGTATTTACAGTAATAAATTGCGAAAATCGACACTAATTTACAGAGCGATACGTACATGTTCACTCCTAATAGGCCAATCCAACATAGTCCATCTTTGTATTTTCACGAAAACATTTTTTTATCAATATTTAAGGTTAAACCTCAAGTAAATTAGTATTTTTTTACAATAATTAAAACCCAGTTTTTTAATTCTAATAAGTAATTTTAACAAAAAAAGTTTGTAATTTTAAGCACTCTACAAAATTTTTACGGTAAAAATCATTATAAGTTATACTTACAACCAATATGTTGTCAAAGTTTCAATTAATTGTTTTACATTGTAGCCAACAAATATTTTTTAGCATACGAAAGCATAAAGTGAGTGTTTGATAAATCAATTTGCCTTCAGATTTTCAGAGTTTAAAATTGTTACAAAGAAAATTATTATTTCATACAAATACCCCAGAAAATTTTTTTTTGAATATTTCTGGTTTAGCTCACTAGCAAAATTAGATGATTGTTAAATCGATCCATTAATTGAGATCTTCTATTTGACACATACCTAGACCTTGAGTGGATGTTTATTTAAACTAAGAGTACACTACAATTTGCTTCTACACTACATTTAATTCAAAGTCGGTACAGATTTGTAAATATTACTTAACAAAAATAATGTAATATTACTTAACAAAAATAAACAGCTTCGATTTCTGACCAATGCCGAAGTGGCCTAGGTCGATGATAAAAAGTTACACACCTCTAGTTGCGCGCTACGCTGTTTTTATGTTGAACTTATCTATCTTGAAAATGAATCTAATATAGCAGCAATACATTACATTTTAAAATTCTTGTACAACAATGACTTTATCATGGTCAGGTATTTATAAGACTTAGAATAACAATTTTGAGCGTGATCTTGATTGATTGATTTTTCTTATTCAAGATATTCACTTCCTTGTAGACACAGTGTCAACGCACTCAAAATAAATAGCTTTATGAAGTTTACTACGTCTATTATAGGTTTTAATATTTCTCAAAAAAATTTATACTTATATAAAAATTATAGTAGTAGTCTACCTTTTTGTACAAAACTTTTGCCGCATTGATCACAGGTATAATTTCTAATTCCATAATGTATTCTTTTATGGGCCATGAGATTCGGTTTGGTCCCAAATTTCTTTGGACACTGATCACATTGATACTGGTTCTTTATTTCAGCTGGAAGATGAGATCTCTCGTGAACCTAGAAATGACAAAAATTTTCTTATTTTTAAAGTTAAAACTTTTATAGGCAGGCTTGAAAAAAATATATTATAGACGACGAAACATTTCAAGAAGTTCATGCAACTCCAAGTTTATATTGGAGCAATAAAAATTTGACATATAAGCAAGTTTTTCGGAATCTAAATTTCTGTTGTTGCTATTATTGTAATTTTATGAATTCTAATATTCCTTGTGTCTCTTTATGCTATTTTTCCATGCTTCTAAATTCCTCGATTTCCAAAAATTATACGGTTTTTATTGGTAAGATAGATGATCTGTGCAATTGGCTCTCCTATATATTTACGATTAAAATGTCTATAACGACGTTGCTAAAACCATCCATTGCTCAGTCTGAAGCTTATGTCTTACCTTCACTGTTGACTCTGGTGCAATCAGTGAGACATTAAAGTGCATTAGTCTAGTTAAACAGACTGGTCTGTTGGCAATGGGAAGACCGTTGAGCCTGATTCTATCTATCTCTATCTATACAGCCCTTAAAATCCATCCTTGGATATAGGCCTCCTCCTCCTTCTTCCATGCCTCTCTATCTTGGGCAATTTGCATCCATTTTGACCCGGCGTGTTTCTTCAGGTCATCTGACCATCGCATTTGTGGCCTTCCCCTTTTACGTTTGTGATTCCATGGTCTCCAATGTATAATTGTTTTAGTCCATCTTTCATCTTTCTGCCTTAGGGTGTGTCCGGCGAACTTCCATTTAAGCTTTGCTACTTGGGTTGAGACATCTTTCACTTTTGTTTTATTACGGATCCATTCGTTTCTTTTTTTGTCTGATAGTTTAATGTTCAGCATTTGTCTTTCCATGGATCTTTCTGTCTTTGCTATTTTTTCCATATTTTCCTTTGTAAACGTCCATGTCTGAGAGCCATATGTGAGGACAGGGAGTATACATTGATTGAAGACTCTGGTTTTTAAGTATTGGGGGTATTTTGAATTCTTTAGAATATAAGACAGTTTTCCGAATGATGCCCAGGCCAATCTTATTCTTCTCTTTATTTCTTCGGTCTGATTTTCTTTATTTAATTTAGTGATTTGGCCTAGATATATATACTCTTTTACTTGTTCTATTTTTGTTTGTGCCACTGTAATCATAAGTTCTTCTGGTTGATTAGTCATGGTTTTTGTTTTACTATAATTCATTTTGAGTCCAATTTTTGTCGATTCTCTATCTAGTTCTTCCATCATTCTTTGTAATTCTTCACTTTTTTCTGTTATTAATACAATATCATCAGCATATCGTAAATGATTCAGATTTTGCCCGTTTATATTAATTCCCAAGTCATCCCAGTGTAGTCGTTTAAAAACATCTTCTAGCGCTTGGTTAAATAACTTGGGCGATATGGTATCTCCTTGTCTTACTCCTCGGTTTATTTTAATAGGCTCCGTTTGTTTCATTAGCTTAATAGTTGTTGTTGCCTTGTTGTATATATTTGTAATTAAGTCGGTATATCGGTAGTCTATTCTGCTGTTTTGTAGGGAATTCTGTACTGCCCAGTGTTCCACACTATCAAATGCCTTCTCAAAGTCAATAAATGCCATGTATAGCGGGATATGATATTCGTTAGTTTTTTCGATTAAAATCTTCATCGTTAAAAGGTGGTCACTTGTACTGAAGCTCTTTCTAAATCCGGCTTGTTCTCTTGCCTGGTATCCATCTAATTTAGTTGTTAATCTATTTGTTAATATTTTGGTTAATAGTTTGTACATCACATTTAATAAAGTTATGGGTCTGTAATTCTTTAGATCCTTTTTATCTCCTTTCTTAAATAGTAACAGTGTTATTGCTTCGTTCCAACTGTTGGGTATTTGTTTTGTCATTAAAATTTTATTCATAAGTATGTACAAAACTTCTCTAGTTGTTTTCCCACCATGTTTTAGCATTTCTACAGTCACCCCGTCTTTTCCTGGCGATTTATTGTTCTTCATCTCTTTGAGTGCTCTTCTTATCTCGTTCTTACTGATCTCTGGTTGTAAGTCGGAATTAACATTTTTTATTTTTATTTGTAGTTGCTTAAGGATTTCTTGGGTTGGTTTCTGTTTTGTATTGTAGAGGTTTTTATAATATTCTTGTGTTATCTGTATAATTTCTTCTACATTATTGGTCTCTGTACCTTCTTTGTTCTTTATACTATTAATTTGTATGGTTCCAAGCTGTGGTTTTAAGCACTTCATGTTTTTATTTTGTTCAATTGCTTTTTCTATTTTTTCTTCCTGTACTCTCCTTTTATAATCCTTGATATTCCTTCTGATAGCTTTGTTTACCTCTTTGTAATCTACTGTGTTTCTCTTATCTTGTTCCAGTAATGTTTTTCTTTTACTCATAAGATTTTTTGTTTCCTGGGATACATAGTTTTCCTTTTTTATTCTTGTTTGTGCTACCTCTTTTCCCGCCTTTGCTAATGTATCGGTTAATAGCTGATTTATTTCATCGATATTTTTGTTTTCCAAATCTCTAGTGACCGGTATACCTTCCTTTATTTTTTGTTTATATTCGTCTTTTGATTGCTTAAGTTTTTCCATATCTAGTTTCGATACATTTTCTATTTTCTTTTTTGTTTCGAATTGGCTATTAATCCTGAGTTTGGCTCTGACAAGTCTATGATCGCTACGGTTGAGAAGCGGTTCAGTACTGTAACATCTTTGATGATGGTTTTTTCTGTTGTAAGGATGTAATCTATTTCGTTTTTTGTATTACCGTTAGGACTTATCCATGTCCATTTTCTTTGTGGTTTTTTGTTAAAAAACGAGTTCATAGCAAAAAGTTGTCTCTCCTCCAAGTAGTTCATTAATGTGTGTCCTCTATTATTTCTTTCGCCATATCCATACTTTCCAATTCTATGTTCTTCTCCATCTATTCTTCCCCCTAATTTGGCATTGAAGTCTCCAATTATTAGCGTCAATTTAGTTTTCTTTTCTTCCATAGCGAGTGTTAGTTCTTCGTAGAAGTTTTCAATATCTTCATCTGTATATGAACTTGTTGGCGCGTATACCTGTATAATTTTCAAAGACGTTCTTTTTAATTTAAGCATAATGTAGGCTACTCTGTCTGATATACCCTTGGTGGATTGTATGTATCTGACGACTTTCTTGTTTATTATAAAACCAACTCCGTTGTTAGAGTTATCTTCATTGCCTTTATAGTACAGCATGTTTTTTGAGTTTAATAGTATTTTTTGTTCACCTTTTCTTCTTATCTCTGACAGACCAATGACATCCCATTGTATATTATTTAGTTCTTCTTCTAATTCGTGAAGTTTAGTATCATCATTCATGGATCTGATGTTATATGTTCCTATGTTTAGTTTAGTCGAATGTTTGCCTCCCCCAGAATCCTTGAGGCAGACCGGTTTGTCGGTGTGGGACTTCGAGATGTTATCTCTACCCACCTGGGGTAATTTTCCGTTTGTTTTGTGATTCGACATGTTTGTTGAAGAGGGTTTTTTTGACATTTAAACGCCACGCTTGTCAGGCGGGTTGGCGAGTGAGCCTGATTATTGCATGGAATTAACTAACTTATTATTATTATTGTATTAACTTTTTCATGGAAAAGTCCTTTTTTAATTAACAGATGAAAAGCGGTTGTGTTTGTACCGATATGTGGATGAAATGTTTGTAGTCTGAAATCATGAGGAAAGTGAACTTACAAACATCTTAAATTTAAAGGCTCCCTAAAGTATAAGATACAGGGCATTATCGAAATAGAAAACAGCAGAGTATATTTTAGATATTTCAGTAGAACAAAAATTCATCTGAAAACTTGGACATACCATATGACACTAAAATGGGATCAATCATAACAACATTAACCGATCATAACCTCGATAATAATGTATCATTGCAAACAATTCTCGTGGGATTTTATGATATTTTTAATATTTAAATTTTATGTTTTTATAATTATTCACATTCGCTGAAGAATAATAGTTGCTATGAAATATGAATTACGTTTCATTAAAAAAATAATTAATTAGTAAAAAGAGTAAAAAGTAAAAAAAGAGAAAGAAAGAAAAATATATATTATTCATCTAGGTATATAACATAATAAAAATACATATTACTTATATAATTACATATAAGTTTAAATGCATAGGAGAGGCTAGAGCAGCCTTAGACTGAACAAAATTTAGAAGACCAATAATTTACCAATGAAAACGAATACTAAATAATAAATTAAATACACATTTTCAGCTCTTCTTTATAGGATAAAATCTTGGACATTAACCGAAGCACTTAAACGACTTGAGGCTTTTCAGGTATGAGACTACACAACAATGTTGGGTACCTCCTGAGTGGATGGTGTATCAAACAGTTAAGTCATTATCACGTCGTTTTATGTCTTTATAATCTTGGAAAGTAGTTTTCACTATCTTTTACTGGGTTATTTAGAGCAGCAGGAAATAAAGCGGAAATATAGCGGAAAGTTTAAATTAATCGATTAAAATCAACCAATCCGCATGCAATGACATGATAAATTACTAATATTTATAATACTAAATTGTTAAACAATAACATCTTCAGAATAAATGATTTATTATATGTTTACTAGAGAAAATGTGCCCAAATATAGAATTTCAGTATTTTATGTCTTTCCAGTTTTTGTTAATAAAAATTATAAATTATTAATTTAACCAGCGATTAAGTGTAACGTAACATATTTAATAATAATGATAATAAGAGGATGTATAATAAAATTAACACTAAGTTTATTATTTAGTTATATAAGGAAAATTAAAAACTGGCAAATTGTATTATTAATTATTTCTGTGTTAATTGAAAGTTCTTACCACGAGTGAAGATTGCATCCTAAACTTCTTCCCACACGTTACACAAGCATGCTGCTTTTCATCCCCATGTTGCGACCTATGCTGCTCTTGTTCCGTAGAAGTTGGAAACCACATATAACAAATATCACAGAAGAGCCTCAGTCTTGGCCTGTGGACTCTAACATGAGCTAGGAAGACGTTGTACTTTGTGTAGCCCTTTGAACAATCCACACAAGAGTATCTAGGAGATGAATTATGAGCAGATGCATAATGATCTCTAAGATCATCGGGGTTAACACAAACCTGTTGACATTGTGCACAATTGAACGGATATGAGTTCCAACCATTATTATCACCTTTGGGTATCATTGTACCATCCAATTTGACTTCAAATTCTATACTCTCTATCTGTTGATTTTGAGAAAATTTCTTTCTAGATGTTTTTCTCGCCTGAAAAAGTTATTTAAATATATCATTTACATTGCTAGAAAGAGTTCTAGATATAAATATTATAAGTACTATAAACACACAAGATTACTATCTTCCCTTACGGATTGATCAAAAATTATTGTAACATTTATGACATTGATATCAAGACAATCTGAAAATATTGCGAACTGTACAAATCAAACTAACTAATACTCATCAAAATCGGGAATGGAAACATACTAATATAAAATTTTTTGTATTTTTTTTTCAATAGCAATCAGATCTGCATGTACACCATTGTGACGCGGCGTGTAGTTTTTGAGAATATCTCCATATAATATATAAATATATACAGCACGGTATTGTCTTTCATACCTTATAATGTGATGTCTGTTTCTCAGTTTTTTATTTATCTTGAATTAAAATTTTTTGTAAGCACTGTACCGGGTGGTCCAATAAGCCGATCTCTCGGCTATATATCAGAAACTATTCATGTTATAACTTTAGGAAAAAAAATTCCTTAGTAAAAGTGGCCAAGAGAAATCGCTGGAAATAATTTTCAAGATTCTGGATTAACCGCTAGGGGGCGTAACCTGCGAAGAAAATTTTGAAAACCAGTTTTTTGGGAAATATGTCCAATTATACCAAGTGTTAAATAAGTAAACTAGAAAGAGGCATAAATTCTGCACAAAGTTGTTCGAATACTTTTTTTTTATTTTTTCAAATAAAGGGTGGGGGAGAGTGGGAAAGTATTTGTGGATAAATACCTATAACTTTGGTTTGGATCAACCGATTTTAACAAAATTAGTGTCATTAGAAAGAGTATGGATAATTTAATTTACATCTACTATAAAATAATTGCATTTAGTTTTAATTGTCGTAGGTAGAGGGTACTTTCGAATAGAAAAAATTAAAATTTGTTTTTCTTCAAAATTTTTAATGGAAACACCTATTTATTGTAAATTATAATAGAACTAGATTAAATTCGTAACAAAATGGCGCAAACGCATGTTAATCTTTATCGAACTCGAGATATAATAAAAATGCATAAACATAAGTAAGTATAGTATTGACACACCCTGTATTATAAATAAATTAAAAATAAGTCAGTAGTACTTTCATAATTTTTATAGCAAAAACCTTAATGTGATACTATTTGACCATTGTTATTTATGATTAAAAATTGTTTTTTCGAAACTAAGTAGGCTACGACAATGAATTTGACAGGGAGTTCATATTGTTTATTTATTGACAGCAGTCAAAATATTGTTAAGAAGTGTTATATGTAGTATAATTCGAATTGAAAATTGCATTTTTTTCAATAGATATTAATATTGGTAATATTAGTAATTAATTATCAGTACTAATAATTCGTGATGAGTATATCAAATTGTATGATATAATTGGAGTTTATTTCGAATATCACCAAAATGGCGCTATTGCCTCACGTATATATTCTGTAAGATATCCTGGCAGGAGATATTGTGGCAAAGAAGTAGAGATTTCGGACTACTTATATGTGGATTCTGTTGAATTAAAGCAAGAACATTGATTGAATTATCTTCGGTCATAACTCTACTACGTCGTTTAAAACAAGGACGAGAAAAACTACCAGTTTTTCTTAATCTGTTTGCCTTTCTTTCAAATACTTCTTTGCCATAATGTCTCCTGTCACGACATCTTACAAAATGTATACGTGAGGCAATAGCGGCATTTTGGTGACATTCGAAATAAACTCCAATCATATCATACAATTTGATATACTCATCACGAATTATTTGTACTGATAATTAATTACTAATATTACCAATATTATTATCTATTGAAAAAAGTGCAATCTTTAATTCGAATTATAATATAGCACTTCTTAACAATGTTTTGACTGCTGTCAATAAATAAACAATATGAACTCCCCGTCAAATTCATTGTCGTAGCCTACTTAGTTTCGAAAAAACTATTTTTTACAAAATAGGTATCAACGTTAAGATTCTTCTGCTATAAAAAAATTTGAAAATACCTACTGACTTATTTTTTAATGTAATTTATAATACAGGGTGAGTCAATACTATACTTACTTATGTTTATGAGTTTTTATTCATATCTCGAGTTCAACAAAAGCTATTAACATGCGGTTTGCTCCATTTTGTTACGAATTTATTCCAGTTCCATTATAATTTACAATAAATAGGTGTTTCCATTAAAAATTTTGAAGAAAACCAAATTTTAATTTTTTTATTTGAAAGTCCCCTCTACCTACGACTATAAAAACTAAATGCAAGTATTTTATAGTAGATGTGACTTAATTCATCCACACTCTTTCTAACGACACTAATTTCATTAAAATCGGTTGGACCAAATCAAAGTTATAGGTATTTATCCACAAATACTTTCCCACTCTCCCCCACCCTTTATTTGAAAAAATAAAAAAAAAGTAGTCGAACAACTTTGTGCAGAATTTATGCCTCTTTCTAGTTTACTTATTTAACACTTGGTATAATTCAACATATTTCCCAAAAAACTGGTTTTCAAAATTTTCTTCGCAGGTTACGCCCCCTAGCGGTTAATCCAGAATCTTGAAAATTATTTCCAGCGATTTCTCTTGGCCACTTTTACTAAGGAATTTTTTTTCCTAAAGTTATAACATGAATAGTTTCTGATATATAGCCGAGAGATCGGCTTATTGGACCACCCGGTACATATAACTATTCGTAGACTGTTTTTATTACGTACTTAAGTTCCCGTGCCATTAGTTTGGTCTAAGTATGATTTCCTTGGAAGTTTGTAATTTTTTTCACGAAACAAACTGCATATTATAGACGCAGCTGCACTCTATTCCCCCCAAGTATAGAATAAAAATGTCTACACTACTACTCAGATTTTAATTAGTTTGGGGATCGCTGGTAAAATACCCAAACTTCCAGATTTCATATTCAATTTATATTTTACTGTCGCAATTTCTGCAGACGTAAATTTATAGTTTCGTAGTAAAAAATCCACGTACCTATGTGATAAGTTTAATTTTTTTAAACCCCATTCATTTAAACATAAGCTATAGAAGTATCTTCGTAGGGTTCTTTCCCTGGGGTTGGAATTCAGTAGCTATACTCATCAACATGCCACAAATCTTCCTTTTTTATCGTTTTTTACATCACATAACATCTCATTTTATATCACATAACACAGTTATGTTTTAAACTGTGTAGCATAACTTATTCAATAGTGCTGTTAACAAGTCTAAGCTTTTACTTTCGTTGTTTGCAGTTGATTTAAGTACTTCGACATTGATATTGTCTGGGCGGGGGCTTTTCCGTTTTCCGTGAGCTTTTACTTGCAGGTATAACTTTTTCTTTGATTATTTCTGGACCTTTTTCATTTATTCGATCATGTGTGGATGGTGGAGAGGATGAAGATGGCAAGGAATAAGTATCTGACAGGTTTTATTTGATATTCCCGGAAAAGGCACATATTCTCCTAACAGAACATAGAACAGAAGAAATATAGACGGTGTGAATAATACGAAGATCAAAGTAGAGGAAATCTTGGAAGTTTATATATCTGTTTTCTTTTCTTTTTTATCTGAACCATAAATTGATACTCATAATTTGTAGTACCAGAAAAATATTCAAAATGTGGTTAATTTTAAAAACTCTGATAAAGATATCTCCAAAAATATTCTTTAGATAGTAGATTAAAAAATTCAAAAGGCAGG